GGTGCTTTTGTCACGACGATTCTGGGCCTCACGGTTCGGGGATTGAGCCATGGTTTTGGATTTCGCCGGATTCTTCTGCCCCCTGACCTCCTTTTCGGGAGTGTGGAGCAGGGTATTGCCGGGGTTTTTCGTGGGCACCACGGTGTTTCCCCCGACTGCCTAGCTGGCGAGGGCCTTTGCGAAGACCCCCTCGAGGGCTTTGAGGACATCGGGGTGCTGCATGGCCTCAGCAAAGATAGGAATTGGCGGGGCAGGGACTATGGGTCCCTGCTGAGCGCGACGGGAGGTTTCCCCACCGTTGCGTCGGCTAGGCTGGGAGCCGGACTGCTGGGTGGAGTCATCATGGCCGGATGAAGGCATTTTGTGTAGTTTTTGGAAGTGAAGAAGTGGGAAAGGTGAGTGCGATGTGGAGCTTCACAAGATCGAAAAATTGACACCAAGTAACTTATGGTGCCCTTCTTCTAGCGCCAAACTGTTGACAGACGTCTCCGGTCAACGGTTAAAAAGATGAATAATAAAAAGGTAATGTGGAAAGGACAAAAGAAATGCGGTTCAATTATGATTTTATTAAAGATCACGAGGTCGGCCTCTCGTACGAGGTCGGCACTTGCGATATACTTACAGATTCTTATTCGAATTCTTTACAAGTCTAGAGAGAGAAAATGTAGAGAGAGTTTAGACAGTTGAGATTCAACAACCCAAAAATAAATGAAGTGGGTTGCTATTTATAGTGGCCTTAAATGTGGCACTATTCAGGTACTATTCACCGGTCTTGTCGTACAGTGTTCTTGCAGAGCATTCCGGCGCCTCCCTGACAGAATTCAATGCGATTTGAGGTTTTCCTCATTATTGCCTGGCAGGCATTTAATGCACACATGGGGGTCATTTAATGCTGGCAGACTTTATGTCTTGGTTAGAGGAGGTAGGTCAGCAGGCTAGGATGCCCCGTCCAATCACCAATGATTACTCTCCTAGTGGCATTATTATACTGTAATCGAGATCGGCATTCCTCATTGGAGGTCCATTATGAGACCCCAGGTCGGCACCTTCTTCCTTTTTACTCCTCCAGTTCCGGGGAGCCTTCCTCCAGATCGTCACTTATCAGGCCGGCACCAGAACTTAACTGTCGCAAACGCCGGGCTGACGGACGGACCTGCGGGGGTGTCGAGGTCAAAAAGTTTCGAAATCCAGCTCGGCACCTACGCGCTGGACCGGGTCTCCGGTTCGGCTCTCGAACCTGCCTTGTTCGGTTCCCTTTGGGGGCGAACTCGAGTGTCAACACAATACATTTAGTTTATTTTTTAATAAATTATAAAAGATAAATATAACTAACATACAATTCTTTCACATTTTTTTTAGCTTATATTAAAGTTTAACTTGATTTTTTTTTTACATAAAATGATTATTTAATTGGGTAACTTAACAAAAGGTGTATAAAATAATTTTATTAATCAGTTCATGATAAATGAGATGCAAAAAAAAAATATATGATATATTTTACTATAAATAAGTGAGAGCAAATGTCTATTTTCACTTAATTTAATGCCAAATTTTGTTTTATTATGCTTAAAATTAAAATTTTTTATGTAGATGTAATATGAATAAATAAACAGATTTTTCAATTTATAGTTGTCAAAATCAAATTGATAAATAAAAATTTATTAAAATAAAAATAGACAGTAATAAAAAAAATTGTTTAGATTGGGTTTTTTTTAATTCGTATTATTTAATAAAGTTTGTAAGGATATATATAAATTATCACATTATACTAATATTTAAAAGTGTAGACGGATTAGTATTATTGTAAGAATATTCACATTTTTTCTTATTTTGATAAATTGGATTATGTCTTTTGGTTTGCTTTATTTAATTAAAATAATATTATTTCTAAATATTCTTTAATTTAAATAATATTCAAATTATTGCTAATATTTTTAAGTAATGACGGTAAAAGTATTAGAAAATAAAATAAATACCACACAATTAGCAATTATATCGTTTACTTTTCCACCCAAAATTAAAATTTATCAACGCCTTTACTTTTCCACCCGATGTTTATTTTTATAAAATTATTTTTAATATTTATTTCTCGCATAATATTCATAGTAAATTAATTTTATTATGTCATTTCGGCTTTGAGTGAATGAGAGAGACTTGAAGAAATTATTTTTTTTTAAAAATAAATTGCAAAATTGGTCCCAAAATTACAAAATTGGTCCAATCTAGCGTCCTCACACGAGCCCCGTTAATATTGACGGATGTGGGACCATTTTGGCAACGAAAATTCAAAAAGGACCCTAATTGACGTGCCTGGGACTAAATGTGAGAAACAACAAAAGTTTTGGGACCAAATTTGTAATTTTCTCTAATATAATATAATGAATTTAGTAATAGATATTAGTATAAAATATATATTAATTTTATTAATTTATATTAACATAACTATTTATTAATTTTAACTATTAATATATTTTAATTAATAATATATACAAATGTACATAGAGGTGTACTTACATGGAGTGAAGTCCACTTGATTTTTTATGTGGACTCACTTAATGTGAGTGTTGTGTACACCTCTATGTAAAGTATTATGTACATATAACATTTCTCTTTTTTATATTAACTTTTTTTACTTTTGAGATATCATATATGCTAATTTTAACATCGCTCTCTCTCTCTTTTTTAAATATCAATTCTCTTTTGTAGCCGTCGGTAGCTTTTCAAGTACTATACAGTATACAGTGATTATTAATTTTGCCTACCAAATACAATGATTATTAATTTTGCTATACAGTATACAGTGATTATTAATTTTGTAGTCGTCAGTATCTTTTCAAGTACTATACAGTATACAGTGAATTTTAATTTTGCTATGGAGCTATCGGATGACTCGACTTATTGAGTAATCCACACTTATTCACAAATAAGGTATTGACACGTGTCTTACAATAAATACAATTTGGACATGTGTCAATACATTACGTGGTGGATGACTACATAAGAAAACTATCCGATGACTCCATATAACTTTACTTCTAGTTATATAGGTTATTTTTGATAAATAAATTTTTTATGGAAAAATGTTACAAAGTACATAATAAATGTACATAGAGGTGTACTTACATGGAGTGAAGTCCACTTGATTTTTTATGTGGACTCACTTAATGTGAGTGTTGTGTACACCTCTATGTAAAGTATTATGTACATATAACATTTCTCTTTTTTATATTAACTTTTTTTACTTTTGAGATATCATATATGCTAATTTTAACATCGCTCTCTCTCTCTTTTTTAAATATCAATTCTCTTTTGTAGCCGTCGGTAGCTTTTCAAGTACTATACAGTATACAGTGATTATTAATTTTGCCTACCAAATACAATGATTATTAATTTTGCTATACAGTATACAGTGATTATTAATTTTGTAGTCGTCAGTATCTTTTCAAGTACTATACAGTATACAGTGAATTTTAATTTTGCTATGGAGCTATCGGATGACTCGACTTATTGAGTAATCCACACTTATTCACAAATAAGGTATTGACACGTGTCTTACAATAAATACAATTTGGACATGTGTCAATACATTACGTGGTGGATGACTACATAAGAAAACTATCCGATGACTCCATATAACTTTACTTCTAGTTATATAGGTTATTTTTGATAAATAAATTTTTTATGGAAAAATGTTACAAAGTACATAATAAATGTACATAGAGGTGTACTTACATGGAGTGAAGTCCACTTGATTTTTTATGTGGACTCACTTAATGTGAGTGTTGTGTACACCTCTATGTAAAGTATTATGTACATATAACATTTCTCTTTTTTATATTAACTTTTTTTACTTTTGAGATATCATATATGCTAATTTTAACATCGCTCTCTCTCTCTTTTTTAAATATCAATTCTCTTTTGTAGCCGTCGGTAGCTTTTCAAGTACTATACAGTATACAGTGATTATTAATTTTGCCTACCAAATACAATGATTATTAATTTTGCTATACAGTATACAGTGATTATTAATTTTGTAGTCGTCAGTATCTTTTCAAGTACTATACAGTATACAGTGAATTTTAATTTTGCTATGGAGCTATCGGATGACTCGACTTATTGAGTAATCCACACTTATTCACAAATAAGGTATTGACACGTGTCTTACAATAAATACAATTTGGACATGTGTCAATACATTACGTGGTGGATGACTACATAAGAAAACTATCCGATGACTCCATATAACTTTACTTCTAGTTATATAGGTTATTTTTGATAAATAAATTTTTTATGGAAAAATGTTACAAAGTACATAATAAATGTACATAGAGGTGTACTTACATGGAGTGAAGTCCACTTGATTTTTTATGTGGACTCACTTAATGTGAGTGTTGTGTACACCTCTATGTAAAGTATTATGTACATATAACATTTCTCTTTTTTATATTAACTTTTTTTACTTTTGAGATATCATATATGCTAATTTTAACATCGCTCTCTCTCTCTTTTTTAAATATCAATTCTCTTTTGTAGACGTTGGTATCTTTTCAAGTACTACGCAGTACAGTATACAGTGATTATTAATTTTTGCCTACCAAATACACCTCGAGTTCTTTATAATTATTATTGAAATTACAACTTTTATTACTCCGTTTTCAAATATTTTGGAGCTAACTATTAAGTTGTTTCCAAATTTTGCTGCACAAAGGATTTTTTTTTTGGAAAATAAAAAAATAAAAATACTAGAGTACAATAAAATAAACAGACCCTTGTAAACTAAAATTGCCAACAATACATGTTCCTTTCTTTCACACATTTAACCAACACCAAACAGAACAAAAATGAAAAAAAAAATAAAAGTGTTTTTTGGTACAGCATTTGGCCCACAAAGACCAAATTCAATTTCAACATACTTAATAGGCCCAATAAAAACAATGATGCACCTACCAAAAAGACTCACAATTCAAAGGCACAAGTGTATATATATGATGTATAATATAATGTTCCCACATGAAGCAGAAACACTGCACCAAAACAACATTAATTCTAAAAACCAAAACAAACTGAAATATCTTATGGAGGTTAGTGAAGCAAGTATTATGATGATTAGCAATAGCAATAACAGCCCTTGCGCAGCCTGCAAGATTCTACGCAGAAAATGTGTCCAGAAATGCGTGTTGGCCCCTTACTTTCCTCCAAACGACCCGCTCAAGTTCACCATTGCTCATCGTGTGTTTGGTGCCAGCAATATAATCAAGTTCTTACAGGTATATATCATTAGTTAGTAGAATAAATATAGCCTCGTCATTAATTAAATTTGTTATATCTGCTACACTCTTGTGTTTTTTCCTACCTTAACCCTGCCTAATTTTCCTAATTCATTTACCAAAAAAAATAAAAATAAAAAATTACATAATCATGTCAATATCAAAAATTTCGATGCTGCTTTTCACCTTTGATTTCACACACCCATATGGGTGTGCGTGTGATTATGTGTAAATCAATGGTGAAAAAGGCAAAAAGCATGTGAAGGCAGTGTCCCACGTGCAGCATAAAACATAAATATAAGTGTACTGTTTGTTTATGTTTGCAAAATAAAATGCAACACGAATTGCCAAATTGATGAAACTTTTACCTCAAAATTAATGGTGTTGTGACTGAAGAAACTAGCAGCTATCAAGATGAATGCCTGCCTCTGCCTACCATATTTGTGGTGTGGGTTCCATTTACTTGACAATTAATTAATTTAAAATGTATGTGTTGTAGTGTTCAATTAATTTATAGCAACATACATGCTTGTTTATGAAAAAATTTACTTACATTTAATTCATATTTAAAATCTAGCTCAATTTTAACTCAATCCCACTATTTTTAATATTATTCATATAATTAAATAATATAATCCAATCATTCTTATACATCACATCAATTTTAATTTACTATATATTTATCTACTCACATAACTTTAACTATCTATCATTTTCAATTATTTCCAATCATTTATTTCCTACTTTTACATCAAATAAAATTTAATTATTTTAATACATTCTTAAAATCTCACTAACAACTAATCATACCACCCTTTTCAAAATTAACTATGATTAACTAAAATAACTCATTTTGGATAAATTAATTCATAAACAAGCATGCCCAAGGAGTCGCCAACAATTATTTATGGAATAATTTAATTATATGTATGTATGTCAGGAACTTCCCGAGCCACAAAGAGCGGATGCAGTTAGTAGCATGGTGTATGAGGCGAATGCACGGTTAAGAGACCCAGTGTATGGTTGTGCGGGTTCAATTTCCCAACTCCAAATGCAAGTCTCTCAACTCCAACAACAGCTAGCTAAAGCACAAGCACAAATTCTCAACTTACAATGCCAACATTCTACTCTAATCTCACTTTATTCCATGGACGCGCTATCAAATGACCTAATAAACTCCTTCAATGACTTCAACAGTAGCCCACATACCAGTTTCATGGAAGATAACAACATTGGACTTCTCTTGGACCCACTTTGGACATGAAAAATAGTCATAGTCCAACTCCTAATTAATCGACTGTTGTACTAAGAGATCATTTTTATATTTAAGTTTTATTTATGCCATATCATCAATTTATTACCGCGATTATTATACAAAATTTTGTAAACATGCATGTGTTGAGAGACAAATTAAAGGAGAGAATATTATTTTCCTAAGTTATTTGAGAGATGAGAAAAGTAAAGCCTAGCTAGCTAGCTGCATAGTTTAGTAGTTGATAAAATTCTAATGATTATGTTAAGCTAAAGCTGATGAGATCGACCGGTGTGCATGTTGCATCATGTTATATTATCATTTCAAAAGGAGAGATGTCATTCTCCTAATTAAGTCCTATACTTCAACTTAACACAACTTTTTTGGTTACCTAATTAATGCCTTTCCTTCCTATTTTTTATTTTCTTGTTGACTATCAAATTCAAACATCAATCTTTGTCAATTAAAATTATTTGTAACTTAATACACGCACCACCAGGCACCAGACATAAAAAAATAAAATAATATATATATATATATATCATAAAATAATATAATATTAAAAATAGAAATCTATATATATAGTAAGAATTAACTTAAATCATTTTTGGTAAGAATTTTCCGCCAAAATAATTAATGACTTTCCAAAAAAGAATTGTCACACACATATTAAATAAAAAAAAAAACATTAATTGCATAGGAAGGAGGATCCATGAAAAAAGGGATTCTGTTTTTATTGATTTTGTCAAAATCATTTTTTTAAGGTAAACCTGTATTTTTATAGTAACATGTTTTTGTGATACAAGAACCCTTTATATATACAAATCTTATTTAATTTGTATATTTTATTTTATCCTTATAAAATCTATATCTCAATAAGATTAAAATTCATCCAATTAAATATAAAATCGTAACCGATTCAGATCGTTAGACAGTTATCGAACATTGACAAATTAAACTTCATAATTCTTAATGTTAAAATATATATTTTTCACATAACATACAGTGTATACACACACGTATAGAAATTGTTATATCATCATTTTCTAAGTGACATACAAACAAAACTAGTAAAAAAAATAAAATTTTGTAAATATTTTTGCGTTATTGTATCATTGTATGTTCATCATGATCTGACAATGTCCAATTTTGGTGGACTGTGAACCATCATATACTATCAGTTTTGCGATGGATGGCTCGACTTATGGAGCCATTGGCACTTATTCACCAATAGTGTATTGACACTTGTCCTACAATAAATACAATTTGGACAAGAGTCAACACATTAAGTGGTGGATGGCTCTATAAGAAAACCATCCGATGGCTCCATAGAATTTCTGCATATAGTATAATATAATATAATATAGCCTATATTTTTACTGCGATGTTTGTATTTAAAATGGAAGGTAATGAATACATTTGATGGGGTTAGAAAATGGAATCGCAATGGAATCTCATGATTCAAAATCATGACGGTAGCTGATGAATAAACATTGTGAGGGACCACATTTATAACTCCAATAATAATAATAATTATGCACTAATTTATATATAAAATAAAAATAAAATTAAATCAATTTTAGTGATTTTGTCAAAATTATTTTTTTTTTTTTTAAAGTAAACCATTATTTTTATGGTAACACGTTTTTGTAGTACAAGAATCATATACACAAAATCTCATTTAATTTGTGTATTTCATTTTATCTTTATAGAAACTTATTTACACAAATTCATTGTTAATAAAAATATAATTTCTACATAAATAAATATGATCTACACGTCTTTCTATTCATACAAATAAATTTATTTTTATATTGTTTTATTTTACTCTGATAATAAGCAGTTTTTTATTAACATTTATCATTTTTAACTACAAATTATACAAATTAAATCAAAATTTTAAACGAACCTTTTCTTTTTATTGTATCACAATTTTTGGGGTGAAACATCTTTTAGATTCACACAAATCAAATTTTATTAGTATTTCAACCTTTTTTTTCGTAATAAAATTTGATTCACATACGGTTGTTTATTTTAATTGTTTGGACTACATAAGGCTATAATAAAATAAGAAAAATACGAAATGCAATGTCTATAGAAATTTTATTTACAAGTGTTTCTATTCATAAATAAATTTCTTATTTGAACTTAACAATTCTTTTTTTTTTTTTAAATATTGTTATGCAATAGATACAGTCTAAATCTCTTTTTAAACGCAACAAATCCATTTTAAAGATTACATTTTATATTTATTCCAAAGGCTGGAATCGAATTGGCCATAAAATGAGACTAAGAGAATAAAAAAAATAAACACAAAATCAATGAGAATGTTGTAATAAAAAAGATCAATACGAAATGCAATCTAATACAAGTGTAACGCTCCAACCAACTGAAAGTCGTCCCGATCTTACTCTTCTCGTCAGTAGAACGTCGGAACCTGCTCAAAACTCTCACACCGGGGGGATTTTCCGGTAAAGAGCCTCCAACGCTCAAGTCAGTCTTGAGAAGATGAAATATATCGGGTAAAAGTGTTTAAGTGTTTATGTGATTGTATTGGGAATGAGAGACTTCACCCCATATATAGGGGTGAATTACCTGCGCTAGGAGCTACCCGAATCAGCTGAGTTGGCTGCCCCAGTTACCCGATCGTACCATCCACTTTCTCCACTATCTCTATGTCAGGAATATGGCAGAGTGTGTCAGAAATCGTTACTAACGTGTACTAACTAGCGTTCGCCACGTGTCCTCTGCATATGTACTGGAGATTCCCTTGGAGGCTCTGATAATCGACTAGATCGGGGCAGGCTGTTGGACTGCCCTTGAGATAAAGGATGGTCGATCTCACGACCATTTATATTCGACCACCTGGTGCTTCGACCAAAGCGGATATTTGGCCAGGCGATCCTGCGTCCATGTAGCTTTGCCTTCTCACCCTTGTCGTCCAATGGGTATTTTGCTCGACCAAACCGACTGACCCAACTCATCCCATTGACTCGGCGAACCAGTGTAATGTGTATAATATCCTATATCATCTAATCCCCCCCACTCTGGTCGAGTCTGAATGACTTGATCCAAGAGTAGGTCTTTATCTATGTTTTGGAGCATTGCTCTATCCATCTCGACCAACTGACATATTTTTTGACTTTGCTTTCGACCATCTCTCGCTGCAACTGCTCTTTTGCATTTTGAAATTCAAACTTCGCCAGCTGTCTGTTTTTGTCAAACGTGTCCCTTCATCTGTCAGGTCATTATTGTTCCGTGATCCGTACCGCTTCGTACTTCGCACCCACCTAATCTCTTTCTTTCTCATAGCCGTCAGATTGACCATTTAAATCTAACGGTCAATAACGCGATAACCGTTCCTCTTCTATCTGATTGCAACCCTTGAAATGCTGCGATCCAACGGTTGATAAATTACCCTTTGTATTTCCTTCTACTATAAATATTCCGCTCTTCAACACTTAGGATTTTTTTTCACTTTACAACTTCTCGCACTCAAATTTCCTTTGCTTCCTCTGAGACTTCAAGCTTTCTACCATTCCGAGTTCTCCACGCTCTTCACGACTTCGAACTCCACTGTAACCACTCCAACTGTTCATGATGAGTAAGTCTTCTTATTTCTTCAATTTGTGTTTCTTTTGAACTTTGCGAATTTTCTTTGGTTTTAATTCAATTCCTCGTCTCCTCGCCTTGCCCTACCTGCTGTGGAAATCTCCTCATCTTTCCCTTTCCATGTAGAAGACCCCTAAAAATCTTCATTTTCTCTCTTCTTTGACGTTTTTCTTTCTAATTTTTCCAAGTTCTGCGACTTCGAGCGAAAACGACAACCGCAACAAGGACATGACTCCTCTCTCCTCTTCGACCTCTAACCCTACAGTACTTCTGTTGAGGAAGTTGACCTTCTCCAAGTCCAACCTCTCAATATACTTCGACCAACTCTTCCGTCCCAGAGTCGCTCTACTGAGACCTTCACTCCTTCTACCTATCTCGTCGATAATCTTGATGAGGGCACCTCTAACCCTCCTCCTCCTTCTCCCTCTTCTCGTTCTCGAAAACCATCTCTTGGTGAAAACGATGAAAGGGAAGAAGAACGGCTCGAGAACCCTTCTCCCTAGCTTACGACCCCTTCTCTGAAAAAATCTAACCCTTCTACCAGCTACTCAAAGTCCACACATTCGACTAGGCGATCGACCTATGCACACAATGCCAACTGGCTCGACCTCGACCTAGTTGGCTCGCCAAGGGCCGTTTATACGCCTGGTGATGATGATACATATGACAACCCCCTTGAGGGATGTTACACCTTCTTACAATGTCAGTTCGATCTTGGTCTCCGTTTTCCTGTTTGTCAAGCCCTTATTGACCTATGTGGTGTGTTTGGCCTACCCCTTAACCAGATTCCTCCTAACGCCTTCCGAGTTTTAACCTCTTATATTATTCTTTCCTTCATCTGCCTAGGTCGAGTCGACCTAGAACTTTTCCAGTATTGCTACTTAGCCTCCAAACAAGCCGGGGGTTTTTATTTAAAGAGTAGAAATAGTGCTCACTTCATAGTCGATCGCCCTTCAAACGACCCTAGATGGAAACAAAAATTTGTATATATTACTCCTGAAACCCCTTTCCTCTGGTCTGCCACTCCTTGGCTTACCGGTCCCCCTTTTATCGTTCCGTCTCCTCCTCAAAACCCTAATTTCGACTGTCGCATTGAGCTTTGGAATTCCAACCCTGTTGCTTCCACAACTCTCTTGAAAGATAACCATCTCCTTCATTACTGCGGCATTCTAACCCACAAAACCTATTCTGCTCCTCTCCCAAAATCAATTACTGACTTGAAAATTGACCAAACTATTGCGGACCTTCATATCGTAGCCCAAAAATCTCATATTGCAGCCCGAGCATCTCGAGGTGTTCGATCAAACTTTAATGTTTTGCCCGTACCAATTATCTTCTTCTATAACTAACTTTCCTTTACTTGTGTAGAGGGTTTTCTGAATAAGCCTGAGACAAGGAAATATGCTGACAGGAAATCGACCAGCAAGGATGCCTCCACCAACAAGGATGCTTCCGCCTCTGTCACTAAGGATCCCCTCACCCACCCCGACAAAGACAAGGGGTCTTCCTCGACTAGGGATTCCTCTACTCCCTCTGACAAAGCCAAGGGTTAAGGATGTCCCGTTGAGGACTAATAAAGTTGTGGTCCACCCAACTTCGAGAAAACAAAACGCACCTTTCTCCCCGCCAAAAAAGACCAATCCCTTCCACACTCAGTCGGCCAAAGAGGTCGATGCCTCAAAGAAACGGCCACGCTCCATCGTGATTGTTCCACTCGTCGGCAACCAAACGAACAATCCTCCTAACTCTCTTAACAAATGGCAGCATCTCG